GCTCACGTCTATCCTCTCCTGTCTTTCCAAACTTTTGCTCCTCTCATGCTCTGGGCTTCAGTGAGGAGGCAGGATACCAACGTCCCGTCCCCGTCCCCCCCCCACAAAAGACGACACAGCCGCCCGGTCCATTTGGCCCCCCAATCCCCACCTCTAGAACCCACGTTTCTCTTCCCGCCCCCCTTACCATAAACTTGGCTCTCCTGATGCTTTTAACGGGTCTTCAATGAGGAGACAAAACACGACCCACAACACGCCTGGTCCATTCCCCCCCCATCCCTCTCCCCCCCCCATCCTACCAAACTTTTGCTCGCTGCCGGTGCTTTGCGGCTGCGTTGTGGCTGCCCCCCACCCCAAAAAAGGAGCAGGAATAGGAAGGGGGACTGGATAGCCCTGGGGGAAAGTGCGCAAAAACTTCTAGGTGGCCGGCGTGGGTGCGTATTGGGGGGGGTGGGCGCATTTGGACGGAGGAGGAGGAGGAGGTTGGCTCAGCTGGCGAGAGGGAGGGAGGGAGGGGAGGGAGAAGTGGAGGGGGGGGGGAGAAGAGAAAGAGGCTGCAGCCTCTGCGATTATGCGGAGGAGCCGCTCTTTGCACGGTGGAGAAGCAGCGATAGCAGCAGCAGCAACAGCGCAGGCATCCCCGAGCGCAGACGGATCGCGGCGCCCCCGGGTCGTGTCCGCCTCCGCCGCCCCCCCGGCTCCCCCCTGCGCCGTCCCGGGCTGGCTCCGCCGCCGCTGTCCCCGGCCGAGCTGCCCCCGCAGCCGCTCTGCATGGACGTCAAGGCGGCGCCCAACGGGGTGGCCACCATCGAGGACCGGATCCTGCGCATCACCGGCTACTATGGATACTACCCGGGCTATTCCAGCCAGAAAAGTGAGCGCGAGCGCCGCGATCCGGGGAGGGGGGGGGGGGGCAAAGGATCTTGGAAGGGGGGGGGTATTTCGAATTTTTTTTTTTTTGACGGGTCTGTTTCCCCGGGGGGGGGGGAGGAAACTGCAGAGAAGTAAGTGACTCCTTGGTAGGGGGGGGTGCGGGGGGGGGGAGAGAACAAGCCAGGATTCCTCCATCTCTTACGTTTACACGCTCCCCCCCACTGCTTTTGCAGCTGGAAAGTGGGAGGGGTGGAAGAGAAAGTGCGATGGAGGGGGCGGTGGAGAGGGGAAACGGGGGGGCGGCTGGTCTGTGTCTTCCTTGCTGGGGGGGTGCCCTCTCCAGACCCCTTTTGCATTTTAAGCTGCTTTGTGATGCGCTGTGGAGGGTGGTTGTTGCAAAATTGTTTTTTTTTTTAAAAGGTTGTATTTGGGGTGTATGTGTGCGTAAAAGCACGAAGGAGCCTGCAGTGTGTGTGCACGTGTGAAAGAGAGGTTTGCTGCTGCTGCTGGCTAGCAGCTCTTGAGGACTTGCCGCATCAAGTGTCGAGGGGCACGTGGGAACGGGCTGCCCGCGGGATGGGGCTGCAGTAATCGTGCGGGGAGGTCGACCCTGCTGCACGTGTGAAGCAGGAGGCACAGATTGCGGCTGTGGAGGGACTCCTGAGAGGTGGCGGACACGACAGAGGTGCTTGAAGTGGTGCCTTGGGTGGACAAACGGGGGGGGGGCACTTCTTTGCACATAATGAGCTTGTGGGACTCACTGCCACATGATCCGCCGACAGGTTATTAGCCTAGAGGGATTTTGAAAAGGTTTTGGCCCCAGCCCCCCATGGCTGGTGTTCGGGATGGTGAAATTCAGAGGTAGAAAGTGCTCTGAAAGCCCCGTCCTTTGCACTGATTTAAGCATATTTAAGCCTGCAGTCTTTTGTCTGCTTACCTGGGAGTAAGCCCCATTGCAGCCAAGCAGATATGTGCAGAATTGCATTGTGAAGACGGTCTTGGATTACGGCCAAGCTATTTGGAAAAAACACTCCGCGATTCCACATTCTGCAGCGGTGCAACTTTCCTGGAAAAGTTTCAAGATTTTTATTTATTTTAAACATGTATAAACCTCTTTAGTAGAAAGCCAAAAGTGCCTAAGCTGGTGTATTAATAACAGGCCCCGTGATTATTATTATTGTTTGGTGGAATAACAGCAATAATAATTTGCCACCTACAAATAAACATTAGCAGCATTATCTTTTATCATCTGAATCTACTGGAGATCTGTCACCGCTTTGATTAGCAGTCCAGAAAGGGACCATTGGCATTTATTAGAGCTCAGCATGATCCTGAGAGGAGGCCAATATTCAAGTTTTTACGGGCAACTTTTATAACCTTTCATCTACCTGCAGTGAGGAGTGCGGCTTGTTTTGTGCAGAATGGAAAGGATTTTGTCTCTCTGCTAAGAAAACCACATGCCAGTGCTTCGCCATTGGAACGATAAGATGAACGTTCATTTGTCTACTTTGTCTTGGCTTCTCTGTCTTAATTCACTGTAGTGGAAATTCGGATGTAGTTCTTTGGCTTTTCGCTGCTTCTTCTTTTTTGCAATTCTGGCAGAAAGCATGAAACGGCACATTATGGGGGTTTAAAAGGCATTTTAAGGGTGGCTGTGCAACCTGAAGTTCTTAAATCACACGTGCAACCATGGCAGTGGTGAAAGTGAGCAGAAAGACTGCTACGGTTTGTGGTGTCCTGGGAATAGCATCGTAAGATATTGGATGTTTCCATTACAGTGGTACCTTGGGTTAAGTACTTAATTCATTCCGGAGGTCTGTACTTAACCTGAAACTGTTCTTAACATGAAACACCACTTTACCTAATGGGGCCTCCTGCTGCCGCCGCACCGCTGGAGCACGATTTCTGTTCTCTTCCTGAAGCAAAGTTCTTAACCCGAGCTACTATTTCTGGGTTAGCAGAGTCTGTAACCTGAAGCGTATGTAACCTGAAGAGTATGTAACCTGAAGCGTATATAACCTGAGGAACTACTAGTTTTGGACCAGGCTTCCCAAAACACTACTTGGGCAGTGATTCATTTTTAAAAAAGGAGGGGGGTGCTGGAATTTTTCACAACTGGAGTCCTTAATTGTGCAATCATAGAATCATAGATTCTATGATTAGGGACCCTGAGGGTCATCTAGTTCAACCTCTTGCAGTACATGAATCTCAAGCATTCAGTGGTAGAGCATCTACAATCACAGGTTCAATCCCCAGTGTCTCCTTGTAGGCCTGAAGGAGATGCCTGCCTGAAATGGCAGAGAGCTGCTGCCAGCCCGTGTAGACAATATGGAGCTAGATGGACCAGTGGTCTGACTCAGGAAGTATAAGCCAGTGGCCTCTGTTCCTAAGGAGCGCAGAAGGTAAAGGGACCCCTGACCATTAGGTCCAGTCATGGCCGACTCTGGGGTTGCGGCGCTCATCTCGCTTTATTGGCCGAGGGAGCCGGCGTACAGCTTCCGGGTCATGTGGCCAGCATGACTAAGCCGCTTCTGGCGAACCAGAGCAGCGCATGGAAACGCCGTTTACCTTCGCGCCAGAGCAGTACCTATTGATCTACTTGCACTTTGACGTGCTTTCGAACTGCTAGGTTGGCAGAAGCAGGGACTGAGCAATGGGAGCTCACCCCGTCGCGGGGATTTAAACCGGTGACCTTCTGATCGGCAAGTCCTAGGCTCTGTGGTTTAACCCACAGTGCCACCCGTGTCCCAAGAAACACAGAAGAGGAACGGTTAAATAATCCAATCTGGGGGACTGGATTTCCTCGGCCAAGCTCTTCCTGCCGATGATGTCGTTGCAGCTAGGAAGTGATGCAAAACATGCTCCTTCTTCCTGATTGGGTATTGTTGTTGCTGTTGTTTAGTTGTTTAGTCATGTCCGACTCTTCGTGACCCCATGGACCACAGCACGCCAGGCACTCCTGTCTTCCACTGCCTCCCACAGTTTGGTCAAACTCATGCTGGTGGTTTCGAGAACACTGTCCCACCATCTCGTCCTCTGTCGTCCCCTTCTTCTTGCGCCCTCCATCTTTCCCAACATCAGGGTCGTTTCCAGGGAGTCTTGTCTTCTCATGAGGTGGCCAAAGCATTGGCGCCTCAGCTTCAGGATCTGTCCTTCCAGTGAGCCCTCAGGGCTGATTTCCTTCAGAATGGAGAGGTTGGATCTTCTTGCAGTCCATGGGACTCTCAAGAGTCTCCTCCAGCACTATAATTCAAAAAGCATCAATTCTTCGGCGATCAGCCTTCTTTATGGTCCAGGTCTCACTTCCACACATCACTACTGGGAAAACCATAGCTTTAACTATACGGACCTTTGTTGGCAAGGTGATGTCTCTGCTTTTTAAGATGCTGTCTAGGTTTGTCATTGCTTTTCTCCCAAGAAGCAGGCGTCTTTTAATTTTGTGACTGCTGTCACCATCTGATTTGGTATGGGGCACCCCAAAAGGCAGCGAGGCACAACCGCCAGGTTAGCAAAGGACTGGGAGCCCCTGGGAGCCTTTGCAACGGTGCGGAAGGTGGTTAAGGCAGGTTCCTTGGTTCTTGTTTGAATGGACAATGAGGACTGGAAACTTGCTGCTGTTTTTAAAGCAAATGCCATAGTTCTGTGTTAGGGCAGCTGCCTTGCATGCAGAAGGCCCCAAGTTCAGACCTCGGCACCTCCAGGTGGACCCGGGAGAGATTTCTTGCCTGGAACCATGCAGACTCTGATGGTATAGCCAGCTGCCTCAATTCAGGTCAAACTATTTGCCCATCTTAGCCAAGGACTCTGCATTCTGACTCTCTTTAGCTCAGTCGGTAGAGCATCAGACTGTTAATTCCAGGGTCGTGGGCTTGAGCCCCGGGTTGGGGCGAAGGTTTACTTCATTGCAAGGGGGTTGGGCTAGATGACCCTCGTGGCCCCCTCCAACTCTACAATTAGCTATGAAACCAGATCTTTGCAGGGCTTGACCCTGGAACCTTCTGCATGCAAAGCACTCTGCCACTACAGTCCCATTCCCATAGGTCAGTGGCCGGGAGGCAGGGAGCATTATTGCAGAGCCCTGCAGGGTGTCCTGTCTCTTCCAGTGGGGCTACCACTGGGTCAGAAATGGTAGCTCATTGGTAGAGCCTCTGCTTTGCCCCGCAGAAGGTGCCGGGTTCGATTCCTGGCATCTGCAGAGACTCCTTCCTTGAAACCCCCGGAGAGCTCTGTCAGAGTGCACAAGACTGAACTGGATGGAATGACTTGTATGAGGCAGGGACCTTGCTCAGAGCTTTGTGGGTTTTTTAAAATAATAATAATAATATTTATTTGATTTTTCAAATTACAGCTTTACAATCACATATCCAACATACAACCTAAAGACAAGATTACATAGAATCTCCAGGGCTTCCCTCCTCCCCTTTGTGGGTCCTGTTGTTAATCATTTCCTCCTGCATCTTTTATAACAATCCAAATCGTTTCCCTCTCCGTTATATCCAAAATTCAACACTGAACTGCAAGTGTTATTCCTATCCTACTAACAACTTTAACAGTTTCCAATGGTTTTAAAGGTCAATTATAAACTCCCCCCGTTCTTTATTAAAATGTTGTTGTTGTTTAGTCGTTTAGTCGTGTCCGACTCTTCGTAACCCCATGGACCAGAGCACGCCAGGCACTCCTGTCTTCCACTGCCTCCCGCAGTTTGGTCAAACTCATGCTGGTAGCTTTGAGAACACTGTCCAACCATCTCGTCCTCTGTCGTCCCCTTCTCCTTGTGCCCTCCATCCTTCCCAACATCAGGGTCTTTTCCAGGGAGTCTTCTCTCCTCATGAGGTGGCCAAAGTCTTGGAGCCTCAGCTTCAGGATCTGTCCTTCCAGTGAGCACTCAGGGCTGATTTCTTTAAGAATGGATCGGTTTGATCTTCTTGCAGTCCATGGGACTCTCAAGAGTCTCCTCCAGCACCATAATTCAAAAGCATCCATTCTTTGGCGATCAGCCTTCTTTATGGTCCAGCTCTCACTTCCATACATCACTACTGGGAAAACCATAGCTTTAACTATACGGACCTTTGTTGGCAAGGTGATGTCTTTGCTTTTAAAGATATTAAAATGTTGGTTTCCCTGATTTCTGATTCTTCCGGTAATTTTTGCCATTTCGGCATAATCCGCCAATTTAAATCTGCCATTCGTCTCTGGTGGCCAAGAGGTCTGCAGATGGCTTTGAGTCCTGGCGACTCATCTCTCCCTCCTCAGTTGGAGACAGCGATGCTTTTGGGCACCAGTTGCTGGAAACCACAGGAGGAGAGAGTTGCTCTTGGGCTTGGATCCTGCATCTGGTTATCCACTGTGAGAAGAGGATCCTGGACTCGGTGGGCCACCGGCCTGATCCTGCAGCTGCTTCAAGCTAGCAGGGCCCTGCATTACCTTGGAGTTATCTGTGTTGTCTTCTTTTGGCTTAGGGCCCTCGTATTTACGGGACCGCCTCTCCTGGTCTGCCCCGCAGAGGACCTTAAGGTCCATGAATAATCATAGTTTAGAGGTCCCGGGCCCTAAGGAAGTCAGATTATCCTCCACCAGGGCCAGGGCCTTCTCAGTGATGGCTCCAACCTGGTGGAATGCTCTGTCCCAGGAGACCAGGGCCCTGCAGGATTTAACTTCTTTCCACAGGGCCTGTTAGACAGAACTATTCCGCCTGGCTTTCAATTTGAACTTAGCCTGATCTTTTATTCCCCTTCCTTCCCTCCCCCTCCCCTTTTATGAAGATTACCCGCTCTGGAATTCCACAGCTAATTCTCCCCTGGTCTCCACTCTGGCTCAAATAGGACTAATTTAGCCAGCTACGCCCTGCTGATCATCTAATGTTTATTGGATGGATTTCCCCCCTAAATTGATTTTTGATTTTATTGTTATTCATGTTTTATACCGTATTTTATGCTGGGGTTTTTTGGTAGCATTAATTAAGTGTTTTAAATTTGTTGTTAGCTGCCCTGAACCTGGTTTTCTGAACCGGGAAGGGCGGGGTATAAATATTATTATTATTATTATTATTATTATTATTATTTTGCATGGGGTCTGGGGGAAGTCTTGGGGAAGTGACTTCTCATTATTGCAAGAAGAAGAAGAAGAAGAGTTTGGATTTGATATCCCGCCTTTCACTCCCTTTAAGGAGTCTCAAAGCGGCTAACAATTTCCTTTCCCTTCCTCCCCCACAACAAACACTCTGTGAGGTGAGTGGGGCTGAGAGACTTCAGAGAAGCCCAAGGTCACCCAGCAGCTGCATGTGGAGGAGCAGGGAAGCGAACCCAGTTCACCAGATTACGAGTCCACCGCTCTTAACCACTACACCACACTGGCTCTCGCAAGCTCTGAGCAGGGTGTGGGTGTGAGTGTTATCCATCTGGGGCCCCCTACATGATTACAGCATTTGAGACCTGGCACCTTTGAGCAGAGCCCCCCCCCCAATATATATGGGTGGGAGTTGGATATGGCTCCTGAACAGGTCTCGTATCACCTTTACAGCCCATGGCTTCCCCTGAATCATCCTGGGAACCTTAGTTCAATTGGATGCTGCCAATTGTACTTCTGCCGGGCATGGTGAACTACAATTCCCAGGATTCCTTGGGGGGAAGCTTAAAACGTCTTGCAATTGTATCGCGTGGATGTGGCCAGCAGTCTCTTCATATGTTCTTAACTACCCTTTATTCATCACTGTGTTATAATGTCAAAAGGTTGCGCGTATTTGTGGGGGTTGAACTAAATGTCCTCCTGGTGTCCCGTTCCAAGTTGGTGGCTCTCTGGATTCTGGAAGAGAGAAAGAGAAAGATTCTGGAAAAGAGAAAGAGAATCTTCCTCAACGGATCTGGCTTGGCATATTCCCTTGCTTGGTAAATTAGAGGTGATGGGTTGCCATGGGAACCAAATAATAGGCCGATGGCCCTTAATGGTTGGCCTTATAAATGGTGGGCAGATGGGCGACTGGGATGCTTCTACCCCTTGCTAAGGAATGTGGTAACCCAACTGTCTGTGAGGAAAGGGCAGCCTCCAGCTGGTAACAGGCTGAGGGCAGAGGCATCGCAGGCTTAAGCTAGATGTGCCCTTGAATGTATAGCAACTTGGGACGGATCCTGTTTCTCCTCCTGATTCTCACTGCCAGATGTCAGCCTGCTTGCACTGTGACATCACAGGAAAGCCCCTTACGCAGACCCTTGGTCCATCTACTTCAGTATTGTCTGCTCTGACTGGCAGAAGCTCTCCAGGGTTTCAGATGGGGAGCGTTTCCAGCCCTAGCTGCTGACATTTGAACCCAGGACCCGCTGCATGCAAAGCTGACAGCTCATTCCCTTAACCAGGAGCCTTGAGGGGCAGCCATGGGATCTCTCCCCTGAATCTCTTCTCTCTATGAGGCGGGCAGGGTATCCATATTGTAGCCTTATTGGAGTTCACCGATTGGGTCTGCGTTGCTCCCGGACAGGAGGAAGGAAGTCAAATGACACCGAGGGTTGGTTCAGAGAAAGAGTTCTTTATTTCTGCTCTCCAGAACAGCAGAAAGGCACCTGCGTGGTCAGTCCACAGTAAGCCCAAAGAAATGAGAAGTTTCATGCAGTATATATATCCTCCAGGCACCCTCTCCCTCCTTCCCCAGGAATCCAGCCACATCAGCCTATACACGCAGGTTGACATCACATATGTTCTTGCTCCGGTATTCTTAACCATAAAAGGGTATTCCTTCCTGTACTTCTGACCATAAAAGGGTATTCCTTCCTGTACTTCTGACCATAAAAGGGTATTCCTGTTCCTACTCTTATCTTGGAGCAAGAGGTCACCAACTCCAAGAACACACTCTGGCGCTGTTCCCGGACTAGGTCTGTGCGTCAGGACGTAAGATAAGACCTAGACATGTCATCCCTGTTCTACTGGAACAGCCAAGGTCATCCTTGCTGTCACGAACTGATAAAGGAGAGGGCTCTGAGCACTTGTTTATACAGCCGGGTTTTTGTTTATACATTGACTCAGAGCTCAAGTTAATGGATTTTAGCTAAGGAAAAATAGGGATTTTGGTGCCTGTTTCAAACTGCCTGCACAGTCACTTTTGGGTTTGGGAAACCCATTCCTTCAATATGGCTCAGTAAGCACTGCATCTCTGGCAGAGTCATGGGGTGTGTGTTTGTGTGTGTGTGTGGACAGTGTATGAACTTAACACAGCTTCATTCATTTTTGGCTGCTGTTTTGTTAACGTTGTTTATTTTGTTTTATAGATTTCAGGTGTTCCATTGATTCGTTAATCATATAAAACGACTCTTGCTTCAATTGTGACGTTTCGCCTATTTTGTAGTTGTCGCTTTGCAAACTGTGTTCTCTAATTGTTTCACTGACGGCCTTTTGATTCTTCACTGTGATTTATGCTGTATCTCTGATGTTCTGTTATTGTGCCACCAAGTTGCTATTATTTATTGTTTGTCGGCCGCTTTGGGAATCATTTGAATCACAGCATAGAAATATAAGCAATCAGTCAAATCAATTAATCGCCAGGGCAGGTCTAACGATAGTGTGACGATGCAGCGGCTCAGGGGTATAGAAGAAAAACACACTGCGCATGCTCAGAGGCCTATTGAGTCTAGGACTTGGTTGCCAGCCATGGCCAGCCAGACTCTTGTAGGGTGTTAAGGCAAAAGACCCTTTACTGTACCTTGTCTAGAGGAGGGTTGGAAAGTCACTGGCCTTGCAGGTGTTTTTGGACTCAGACGCCCATCAGCTCCAGCCAGCATGTCCAATAGTGAAGGATGATGGTGTAGCCTTCTTAGACTTTACTGATTGGGTCTGCGTTGTTCCCGGGAGGGAGGAAGGAAGTCAAATGACACCGAGGTTGATTCAGAGAAAGAGTTTATTCTGCTGTCCGGATAGCAGAAGGCACTTGCGTGGTCAGTCCACAGCAAGTCCAAAGAAATGAGAGATACATGCAGTATATATATCCTCCAGACATCCTCTCCCCCCTTCCCCAGGAATCCAGCCACGTCAGCTTATACACGCAGGTTGACATCACAGATGTTCCTGCTCCGGCACTCTTAACCATAAAAGGGTATTCCTCTTCCTGTTCCTAAACTCTTATCTTGGAGCAAGAGGTCACCAACTCCTGGTGCCGTTCCTGGGTCTCTTGTCAGACCTGACAAGGTCTGTGGTCTTTGTGGTCAGGATGTAAGACCCAGCTGTTTCATCCCTGCTCTACTTTGGAACGGACAAGGCCATTCATTGCCGTCACGGATGGATAAGGGAGAGAGCTTTGAGCACTTGTTTATACAGCTGGGTTTTGGCTCAAGAGCTCAAGTTAAAACATTTTAGAAATGCTCCCTTGGAGAAGGAAAAATGCGGATTTTGGGTCCCATTTCAAACTGACTGCCCAGTCAGGTTTTGGAGTTTGGGAAACCCATTCCTTCAATGGGAGTTGTAGTCTAGCATCGTCTGGCCTGAGGAATAACAACACATATTCTCTGTTCCGGAAAAGCTGTAGCTGTAAAGAAGATTCTTTGTTTGTTTGCATTTATATCCCACCTTTCTCTCCAAGGAGCTCAAATTATCACCTGTGGTTCTCCACCTCCCACACAACAACCCTGTGAGGCAGGTTTGGCCGAGAGGCACTGACTGGCCCAATGTCACCCAGTGAACTTTGTGGCCAACTGGAGATTTGAACCCTAGTCTCCCAGGCTGTAGCCCGACACTCTAACCACTGTGCCACCCTGTTACCCATCGGGAAGGTCTTGGGTTCCAATCTCCAGCCTCTCCTGACAGGGCTAAGAAAGACTCCTGCCTAAAACCTTTGAAAGCTGCCACCTGTCCGTGTACGGATGGTACTGAACAGTGCAGACAATGGCCTGCAAAAAGATTCTTTCCTGGACCACATAACACCGGTCCTGAAAGACCTACACTGGCTCCCAGTATGTTTCCAAGCACAATTCAAAGTGTTGGTGTTGACTTTTAAAGCCCTGAACAGCCTCGGCCCAGTATACCTGAAGGAGCGTCTCCACCCCCATCGTTCTGCCCGGACGCTGAGGTCCAGCTCCAAGGGCCTTCTGGCGGTTCCCTCATTGCGAGAAGCAAAGCTACAGGGAACCAGGCAGAGGGCCTTCTCGGTAGTGGCGCCCGCCCTGTGGAACGCCCTCCCTTCAGATGTGAAGGAAATAAGCATCTATCCTATCTTTAAAAGACATCTGAAGGCAGCCCTGTTCAGGGAAGTTTTTAATGTATGACATATTAGTGTATTTTTGGTATTTGTGGAAGCTGCCCAGGGTGGCTGGGGAAACCCAGCCAGATGGGTGGGGTACAAATAATAAATTATTATTATTATTATTATTATTATTATTATTATCCTCAGGTGTGCCATTTACATTTTTCCTTCCAGTGTGTAAAGTAGGCAGTGTGGGATCGAACCGTTTCCTTCTGTGCTGCCTTAACGGAGCACTTCTCCGGCGAAAGAAATTTCGCTTTAAAGAGCCGAGCCACAAGCGAGCCGCCCTTGCTGGAAAAGAACATTTCTGCGTTGGACGGTTTCAATTAGAAACTCTTTGTTTCTTTAAGCTGTAAGACAACCTTCTCGCCCTAAGCAGAAGTGATTCATGTTTATACATGGATGGGAAATGACCCATCACGGTTTTTACTGTTTTTGGCATAATTTCTCTATTTGGCATGGCCTGAGGTGGCTGTGGACAAGACACTTTTAAAAGGCAGTGATTTAAGGAATATCCGAGGCGGAAATTCAGACAGAGCTGCCCTGGGGAATGCAAAAGATAATCCATAGGTTTTTGGGGACAGGGAAGCTGTGTATCTATAGGTCGGGAGACGGGGGAACGGTGGCTCCCCTGTTGCTTGGGGACTGGGGAACTGCAGAAAGACCAGTTCCCGCGTCCCTAATTTTCAGAAAGCGGGTGTTTAGAAAGAAGGAGAGAGAGGGGGAGATGCTGAAATCCACTTTCCAAATGAGCAATGCAGCTAGCAGTAAATTAAAAAAAGGACGATGCACGATACTCCCTCCTAAGCCTTTTGCTTGTGATGAAAGTAAAGAGAATCTGGCAGCAAACAACTGTGCTCTTATTGCAGCAAACTGGCAAAGACGATTATGTAAGACAATTGTTTGTAGGGCGCGTCTGACGGCCTTCGCTGATTTGTCTCCTGCCAGCTGTGAGCTTTTGAAGAGGATACTTGAGGCAAAGAGAGAGGATAATTCTTCGGAACGGATGTGCACAAAAGGAGCACAATGCTTCCGTCGTGCAATGAGCAGCGTTCAGAAATGGGCAGAACCTCCCTCTCTCTGTGGCCCTCCCCTCCGGTTACCTGCCCACCACCAGGATTTTTGTTTGTCTGTCGCTAAACTTCTTTTAAAAGGTAAAGGGATCCCTGACCATTAGGTTCAGTCATGACTGACTCTGGGGTTGTGGCGCTCATCTCGCTTTATTGGCTGAGGGAGCCGGCGTACAGCTTCCGGGTCATGTGGCCAGCATGACTAAGCCGCTTCTGGCGAACCGGAGCAGTGCACAGAAATGCCATTTACCTTCCCGCCGGAGCGGTACCTATTTATCTACTTGCACTTTGATGTGCTTTTGAACTGCTAGGTTGGCAGGAGCAGGGACCGAGCAATGGGAGCTCACCCCGTCGCGGGGATTCGAACCGTCAACCTTCTGATCGGCAAGTCCTAGGCTCTGTGGTTTAACCCACAGCGCCACCCACGTCCTAAAACCTAAAACCTAAACTTCTTTAGGTTCCTATAAACATCTCTCAACAGCGTTAGAAATTAGCCAGGTGCGTTTTGTGACTGGCATGGGTCCAATGGCGACCACGTGGAGATCTCTGGATGCTAGGATGGTGACTGACTTCTCCACCTAGCTGGCCCCTCCAGCTTTCTTAAGCAGGTCAGCAGATTAGCTGATGTATGGCACCTTTTCCTCCAAGGAGTGCATGGTTCACCCCCGCTTCTCCGTTAGTCCCTACAACGAGCCTGCGAGGTAGGTTACGAGGCTGCGCCTTGACTCCGAGGTCACCCAGTGAGCTTCATGACTAAGTGGGGTTTTGAACACTCATCTTCCAAATCCTAGTTTGGCACTCTGACCACTACACCACACTGTCTTCCTAGAGTACTTCTGCTATGGGACGGCTCTATAAATTAAGCAGGTAAATAAATATAGGTAAAGCTAAAGGGACCCCTGACCATTAGGTCCAGTCGTGGCCGACTCTGGGGTTGCGGCGCTCATCTCGCTTTATTGGCCGAGGGAGCCGGCATACAGCTTCTGGGTCATGTGGCCAGCAAGACTAAGCCACTTCTGGCGATCCAGAGCGCACGGAAATGCTGTTTACCTTCCCGCTGGAGCGGTATCTGTTTATCTACTTGCACTTTGGCGTGCTTTCGAACTGCTAGGTTGGCAGGAGCAGGGACCGAGCAACGGGAGCTCACCCTGTCATGGGGATTCGAACTGCCGACCTTCTGATCGGCAAGCCCTAGGCTCAGTGGTTTAACCCACAGCACCACTCATGTCCCGTAAATAAATATAGGGAGAGCCAAATGTCACTTAGAGAAGGATCTGAACTATTTCCCTTGAAGCTGGAATCTGTTTTATTCTGGATTCTTTTATTGGATGTTTAATGTGTTGCAAACCGTTTTGAGGTCCCCCCCCTTTAAAACATAAAGCCGTATAGAAATGAAATGGATAAGAATAAATTATAATAATAATAAATTCCATTGCAAAAAAAGGGGCCCAGATATTGCACTGTGGCGACCACAGCCTAGGTTCAAAGTGCCATTAGGCAATTATAGCTTAAATATCTGAGTTTCTGTCACTGCTCAGAGGCACCTCAGAGGCATTTGTTTTCTTCGTAGGCTTTGGTGAGAAGGTTTTTGGAGGCCCCGACACCCCCTTGAACCTGCACATTTCTGTAACGCTGTCAAGATTTACAGACCTGCCAGAGTGCTTTATCCAAAGATCCATCGCGGAGAAATAAGCAATGAATAATCTGAAACGTCTTTTGGCACCAGCTAGCATCCTGTTTTTAGATACTGCAAGTCAGATTTCAGGTTACATATTGAAATGGCAGAAAAGAGGTCGCAAGGAGCAAACAATAATCTCGCAGAACAAACACAAATAAAAAGTGTCTGCTTTGAGCCGGGAGATCTGGGAAGTCTACGTCCCAATTTGTCGCATTGAAAATGTCAGCTTCTCCATTCCTGTGTGACACGCTAATCTTTTTTCTCAGCCTGTCATTCCGGGAGGTAGGGGAATCTGTCAGTTCTAGAGCATCCACTTTAGAGGCAGAAAGACCCTGTCTGAAATCCTAGAGAGCTGAGCTGCTGCCAGTCCGTGTGGGCAGTAAAGAGTTAGATGGACCAGTGATTTGACTTGGTGTGAATCCATTTCTGATGTTCTTCTGCTAAACCGTATCCTGTGTTCAAAAGCTTCGCAATCCTGGAATAAGAGGAAGGGGTCTTCTTATGGACCCAGAATTGGTTTATTATTGGTATAATAATAATAATAATAATTTATTACAGTGGTACCTCAGGTTAAGTACTTAATTTGTTCCGGAGGTCCGTTCTTAACCTGAAACTGTTCTTAACCTGAAGCACCACTTTAGCTAATGGGGCCTCCTGCTGCCGCCGCGCCCCCGGAGCACGATTTCTGTTCTCATTTTTTTTTTTAAATGATATTTATTAAAGTTTCAAAAAATACAGGAAAATACAGAATACAGAAAAAAAGTATAAAGTTTTTAAGATATAACACAAAAGTAAAAAATAAAAAGAAACATACAAAATAAAACAGTTAAAGACACGTTAATTTTCCATAACCTATCTTCCTTGCACTTATTTCCCCGGACCTCCTCATACCTCCCTTTTTTGTATTCCAGTTCAATTTGTTAGTTCAGCAAATCCTTACCATTAAGCTTTTACCCATTTGTAAACCTTTTTTCGTATCTCTTAAAGCATTACAGCTGGAAACCACTTAATTTCTATCCAACATCCTTCTAAAGTTCCTTAATTTTACAATATTTCTGTAAATAATCTTTAAATTTCTTCCAGTCTTCTTTCACTGACTCTTCTCCCTGGTCTCGGATTCTGCCAGTCATTTCCGCCAATTCCATGTAGTTAATCACCTTCATCTGCCATTCTTCCAGAGTGGGTAGATCTTGTGTCTTCCAATACTTTGCAATGAGTATTCTTGCTGCTGTTGTGGCATACATAAAAAAAGTTCTATCCTTCTTTGGCACCAATTGGCCGACAATGCCCAGAAGAAAGGCCTCTGGTTTCTTTCGATTTTTGTTCTCATCCTGAAGCAAAGTTCTTAACCCGAGGTACTATTTCTGGGTTAGCGGAGTCTGTAACCTGAAGCATATGTAACCTGAAGCGTATGTAACCCACTGTATTTATACCCCGCCCATCTGGCTGGGTTTCCCCAGCCACTCTGGGCAGCTTCCAACAAAATATTAAAATACAGTAATGCATCAAACATTAAAAGCTTCCCTAAACAGGGCTGCCTTCAGATGTCGTCTAAAAGTCTGGTAATTGTTGTTTTCTTTGACATCTGGTGGGAGGGTGTTCCACAGGGCAGGTGCCACCACCGAGAAGGCCCTTTGCCTGGTTTCCGGTAATTTGGCTTCTCACAGTGAGGGAACCGCCAGAAGGCCCTTGGCGCTGGACCTCAGTGTCCAGGTAGAACGATGAGGGTGGAGACGCTCCTCCAGGTATACTGGACCGAGGCCGTTAGCAGAG